TTGATCTGTATGAAGAAGAAGCACCGTCTAGCTTTTGCCATTTTACAACCTTTGCTCTCAAGAAGCTTGGACAGTTTGTGGACAGCAGAAAAGAGATGACAGCGCAATCCTACAGGTTCTTTGTCGAGCATGCCTACAATCAGTTCTTTCAACATGAATCATTTCATCAATCTGCCACAGCAAGAACTAAGGTGAAGGAGTGTGCGGCAGGTGAATTTCATACATCTACAAAGCTTGATGGATATATTTGGATATCAGGAAATGAAAAGGTGAAACACATTCCCCAAAATCAAGCTGCTACTGTTGACATGGAAGATCACGATGAAGATGCTGATGAAGAACTTGATCTATTGCCAAGAGTACAGGTCTTTGTGAAGCTTGGGCAAGATCAGAAAGCAGAGAAAGGTGTAAGCTCTCAAGAGAGAGAGGAAACACAAGAACAAGATGGAACATCTCAAGATGATGAGGACGTCTTAGAAGATGCAGCCCCGACCACAAGATCTGAAGACAGGCATGGTCAATTTCTGATTAGGCAGCTCCTCATGAACATCAACGACTTTTGCATGAGATTACACTCAGCTCAATGCATGTTCTCACAAGTGCTGATTTGGAAGGTCGTCGAGCACCAGTGCGTGGTGAGATCAGTTATTTCTCTATGACCCTGATGATGGAAGCTTTGAACTTTGCACCATTCAAGACATTCACGGAGTTGTATGCACCATCGATGAACTTCGAGGTTTCATATGATATTTATCATGAATTAAAACTTTCTATTCATGATGTCCTTGAGAACAACAGGCATATCACATCCGACAACTTCCCTGATGTTGAGGATCCAGAACTGGTAGATGAAAACCCAGAAACTCCTGTCCTCGTAATCCATGGGAACGTCAAGTTGATCCTGAATACAAGGGCTCCATTGAAACTTTGAGTTGTGAGAACAAGCATATTATTCTGGAAACAGATGATGACAAATTAGTTGAGTGCACTCTTCAATGGATCAACATGTGCAACAAAAATGTTCAGAGGAAGATCAAGGAGAGAGTTGTTGAGAAAGAGGCAAAAGAGGAAGAAGAAGAAGAAGGAGGAGAAGAAGAAGAAGAGGAGATTGATGTCGAAGAAGAACAACAGGATACTCAGGAGCCACATGTTCCACCTGGAAGCTCTTCTGAGAAAGAGGAACCAGTTCCACCTGAACGCTCTTCTGAGAAAGAGGAATCAGGGGGAAGGAAAACAGACATTAAGAATGATGAAACAGCTCCAGAAGAAAAACCTGCCACAAGACTTTTCTATGGTCAAGACATCACTGGAAACGAGGATGATTCAGTGTTTCGAGAATTGAAGGATTGTTTACAGATGGTTACCATGGTGAGCGGGCAGGATTCTATAACCAAGGATATCCAGCGTCTTCGAAACATCGACATATGTTGGCTTTTCATCAAGGCTACTGGTACCACCTCACAGATGACCAGTTGATGGCAGAATGCATCGCCAGACACAAGAATCAACAACCATTACACGAACTAGAAGAACTCAAGAACAACATCGAGTATGCTTGTAGTGATCCTAGAATGCATCCTCTTCATCAAGATCAATCAGAAGAAGCCTCAAAGGAAGCAGAAAGGAGGATCGATGATGATTTTGGAAATTTGACAGGAGTACTTCAATCTTATGTGCAGGAACACAGGGTCTTGCCTTACTGAGTGATCTTGCATAGCTTGGCTTACAGATATTTAGGTGGAGGCCTACTAGACCCAGCACATAAAGATGAAGAATATCCTTACCGCTCCTCTCCACAGTTCACATTGATGTTTTGGAATTTGGGAAACTGGTGCAGAAGCAAATTTGAAAAATGTCCTGTTCCAGAAAGATTTCAACAATTCATTCCACACATCGACTACAGCCTTGATGAAGATCACAACAGGTTCGATGAGAACAAGGCCCAGTTCAACAACTACTTCATCAATGTTATTAAGAACTTTGGAGGACATCTATCTCTTCATGAATTGTGAAGCTGGCTCACTTTATCCTCACGGAGCTCGTCTCGAAGAGGTATAGATGCAAACTTGCTTCAATGACTCTCATGATTTGATGGTTGCTGCTCGCATAGGAAAGGACGGCTATATCAGGCAGATTGCTGGATATTGTACAGATGAAAACGATACACGGGTTCGACAAGTCTCCTGGGCAATCTTTGAAGTCTCTTGAGGAAAGACCAAGCATCGTGACACAGAGGAGATCGAAGATTTAACAAGCGCCAGGATGAAGATGACACGTGTGTGTGTGTTTATCACGTTGGACAGAAATATGCATCAGACTCACCTGGTATTGTTGGTGAATGCATAGCTATTATGGCTTTCGAGTGTGCCAAATATCAAGTTGATGTCATCGCAGGTGATGGAAATAAGGCATGCTACTACACCACACCAAAATCTCCAGGTGTACCCACATATCAACACAGCCTATTACAATTCTGGATTAACAGAATGATGGGTGTTGCAACACAAGCCATGGGCAAGATCCATGACAGAACTTCCCCTCCAATTAGGGTCAAGCACTTCATTTCTTGCAGCTATCGTGATCTTGATTTTCTTGCAACGCATTTGGATGGCATTACAACAGCTACATACACCGAAGAGCTCATTACGAAGACAGCAGACAAGGGTGATTGTTGTATGCTTTCAGTTGTTGAGTGGGGTCATTCACGTCTGATGAATGAGGAATACCCAGAACTATTTGAGGATGAAGATCACATGAACTACGTGGGTGAATTTTACTTCAAGGTAAATGAAACTTGCTTACATGGTGATCACAACATCTTCATGGTTGCACCTAACGATCGTGATGCTCATAACCCTATTCTTGTTCACTTGAATCCTTCAGATATGTCATGGAATGAACGACATCAATACAAGCCTAGTCAAATGAAGATGAGAAACCATGACAAGAGGAAGGAGAGACAGAAGGCGAACAAGAGGAAGGCGTATGAAGATCAAGCATCAAACTATCAGGGCAACATTGGTTGGGGTGGATCCTCATCTTCTTCGTCCAGACCATGGAGAACAAGCTACTGGCGATGAGTGAGTGTATACTTCTTTCACTGAAGATATCACAGCACGAGAAGCCTTGTACAGTTTTTTTTTCCTGTGCATCAAGCTTGTTTGTCACAAGATGGCATATACTCTTTTAGATAGAGATAATGTCACAAGTGTCGGAACTTCAATTTAATGTAAATAGATACTCTTGTAAATAGAGATACTATAACCATTTATCTCCATGAACTTTCCGTGAGCAGATCACTCCGAATGGAGCGAATTTCAAAAACTTACCAACTTCGAATTTTGCCCATTGTTCGCTTGAATGAGCAACTTTGGAGATCTGCTATTTCCATTTATTTCGTGATTTGGTCAACTGTTTTTCCATCCGACCTGAATTTCTGAATCTTGCGAATCCGAACTTTTCAATTCGAACCTTCACCGGTAGAGCGAAGCACTTTGCTTGGAGCGACCGTGCACGACGCACAATTGGTCACTACTGGAAAAATTAGCGAATCCGCTGTTTCTTTTCGGCATGTCCTTAGGACATTCGCTGCTTTCACGTGTTTTTCATTTCGAAGCCACTGCGTAACTCCGGTTTATTTTTGCGATTTGCCATTGTGTAGAGATACAGGAAGATACTCTTAATACCAATTGGGTACGACAAGGCGTTTTTGAATTTGTGCCTGTGTTTTTGTTTCGACCTAATACCTACAGAGGTACATGCATGAGTATTGAGCACATCTATATGCGCCCTCAAGGCTCAAGAGGTATATAGAGTAACCCTGTGGACACCGCACTGACTGGCAATACGCCTGAGAGTAAAAGCGTGTGCTGTCTTGGGAAGACGCCTTAGCCGATCTTGAAGTAGACGCTAGGGCCCCTCTTCATCCCATCCCCCCCTGTGGTGTGGTGGGGGTGTGGTATGGTATGTTGGGTATGTATGGTGTGTATGGTCGGTCTGGTATGGCATGTCTGGAAAGTATGGTGTGTTTGGTATGTATGGTAGGTATGCTATGTATTGCATGAATGGTTGTTATTGTATGGACGGTAAATATGGTATGTAAGTCTGTTGGGTATGGTATGTTTGATATGACCGTATGTATGGTATGTATGGTATGTATGGTATGTATGGTTACTATGATGGGTATGGAATGTTTCCTATGTAAGGTATGTATGGTATGTATCGCATGTATGTTTGGTATTGTATGCATGGTAGGTGTGGTAATTGTGTTTCATATGTATGGTATGTGTGGTCTGCATGATAGGTATGATAGGTATGGTATGTATGGTTACTATGATGGGTATGGAATGTTTCCTATGTAAGGTATGTATGGTATGTATCGCATGTATGTTTGGTATTGTATGTATGGTAGGTGTGGTAATTATCTTTCATATGTGTGGTATGTGTGATAGGTATCATGGATGTGGTACGCATGGCATCATTGGAATGTGTGGTAGGTACGGCATATGTTCAACACATGTAGTGTTGTGAGAGTACACAGGTAGTAAATAGGAAGTAGATACATAGCACATGTACATATGACTATAGGTGGCACGTAGGTACTTTGAGGGAGTATATATGTGTGCCACGTAGGTCGCCTAAAAGGTAGCATGTACCTAGTAAATGCGAGGCTGGTGGTCAGAAATGCTGCAAAGACCTAGCAAATACGAGGCTGGACCTCAGAAATGCTGCCAATAGCTTGCAAATAGAAGGGAAAGGGGGGTAACCCATGGGGGGGTGGAGAGACGGAGGACGGGACCATACATACATACATGCATGCATGCATGCATGCATGCATGCATGCATGCATACATACATACATACAATACATCAATGCATACATACATACATACATACATACATACATACATACATACAATACATACAAACACCGTGCTTTGCAGTGCCTCGCAAAGTCTCTGCAGAAGCCGAGGTGCAGCGTCTTCCTGGGGCATTCAGAAATGAATGTCGTGGGATTCGCAAATCTTTTGACTGAGTCATTCCAGGACAGGATGGCACTGATGGCACTTGAGGCAAATTCAGTTGCACAGAGATGTTTTGTTTTGGACAGCACCCGGCCACAACCAGGATTTTCAAGGCGATGACTACGAGCTTGTTGGCCACAACTGCTGCAGCTTCGCACGGGCAATGGTCAAGAAGTTAGGAGTTCGTTCTATGCCCCGCTGGGTGGACCGATTAGCCTCCCGGCAGCACAGCAATCCGATCATTTTCACCTTGACCGGAGAATGGTCATGCGGCGCAGCTGAATTTCGCATGTCGTATCCAAGGCAAGAGGATTGAACTTAGGAGCCTTCATTGGAGCCAAGGCTCACAAGTCCGTGACCAGTGTTGCCAGGGTTCAACTCGGTTTCCTCATGCCAGTTGGGTTTGATCCAGCCTTATAGTTGAACCATTTTCGGCATTCCATTTTTGTACGTCCTGAAATGTTCAGCGACTTTTTCTTGCCTTCGTGACATTTTGACCTCCAGACATTCCAGGCCACCAAAATGGCGGCACACCCTGTGAAGAAGGACCGACTTCGCAACACTCATGCGAAGTATTGCGATGTCTTGCGATGATGTCCAAATTGTGGAACATTGCCTTGCTAATTCAGCTGAGAGATTTCGCTCGAGTTGGTTTGTGATTTTCTGACATGAATTTGTTCTGCTGAGTCAGCGCATTGAAGGCAACATGTGATGATGAAATGCAGACTTTCCAGGCTGCAGCTTTGGGCGGCCGTGTGCTGCGAATGGGGCGAGGGGACTCTGAATCAGAGGCCAGATTCAGAGATCAAGAGAGTCAAGACGTCAAGGAACCAAATTTCCACAAAACATCACACTTTTCACAAAATATCGCAAACATATATAAACATATAACATAATATAACATACTGCATGTTTTCGTGCGTTGAAAGAGATTCCGGAGCGTTTCTGGTTTCGGTGACTTGACAAGGATTCTGACGAAGATGACGGCCTTTGCCCGACTGGTCATGGACCTGGGACCGGAGAAGATAAGAAACAAACAATCCCAACATCAAACACCCCTTACTAAAGCACGGTTCAACATGGCAATCCACAAGGGCCATCTGCCAATCGCCATTTCGGTCACCATGCTCCCATTGATCATCTCAGCCCATATATTTTCCATATCCCCTCCGGCAGTCAAGCATGGCTTGCTGGACATGTTCCCATTTCTACATGTTTTTTCTCCAATGAGGTCATTTTGATTGATTCAGATATACCCCCGTATCCCCATGATATCCCATTAGACCACTTTTTTTTTGTGGGTTAAATCCAGACAAAAGGGGGATCGGATTGATTACAAATCATTCACACATCATTTCGCAAATCATTTCGCAAAGTGTTTACTATGTCTTATCCGTGTTCTTTGATGTTCATGCCAGAAGTGACGCCCGAAAGACACATTTGTCTCTGAAACCCAAATGCTTTGGCCATGAGGTGTTGAGATAGCTGAAAAAGCCAAAGACATTCCAGGGCAGATTCGATGTGGGACAGGTGCAGGTGAGTTACAAGTTGTTTCATTGGACCTTTGGACATGTTTCAGTGGTTTTCGCAGTGACCGTGACTGTGATATTTTGAGGCTGTGCTTTGCTCTTGTTTTAGATATTTTGCTGATACTTCGATGCTACCAACTCAGATTTTCAGTTACAGAGTTACAGATGTTACAGTAAATATTTCTTCCGTTCATCAATCTTCTTTTTCTTTCTGTCCAGGTGCGCAGCCAGTTGCGCAGCGAGCGCAGCCAGTGGCGCAGCCAGTGGCGCAGGTGATGCCAAGACATGCTCCGCATGTACAGCCAGCGATGCCGGCGCTACCTACGTCCATGTCCCGGGCTCAAACGAGACCTGCGCCATCCTGCACCATCCTGCTGCGTGACCTGCGTGACCTGATCAGTTTTGACGCGTCATCCCGAAGTTTGCCAGGCCAGGCTTCGGGTGGCAAGCTCAAGCTGGACAGCAAGTTGCGATGGCCCAGGTGCCTGGAATTGCCATGAATTGCCTGCTTGATCCTACTTGGATATGCATTTCAGTCCGTCAGTGGTTTATAAGTCACTCAGCAAGCGTCTAAATTTTAGATGTTTTTTGGTTGGGTTCGCGCGCGCAAAGGGCTCCATTTTATACCCAAAAATCGCGCGCGAACCCAACCAAAACAAGTTTTTTTTTGCAAGGAAACCCGCTGAGTAAGATACCCAAATATATGATTATATGCAATTATACCAGTAGTACCGCACAAGGCGGTGGCGGAAGTTTCAAAAATAGGAAACCTATAGGAGAGGTTGGTTGTTGTGAATCAGGGATGGCAGAGCGAAGCCACTGATGGACTGAAAGGTGCTTAAGGTCTCGTCTTTTTTTTTTTCTCTCTCTCTCTCTCTTTCTCTCTTTTTCTCTCTGTTTCTCTATCTTTCTCTGATTATCTACCTACCTACCTACTGATCTATCTGTCTACCTATCTATCTCCCTATCTATCTATCTATCTGTCTGTCTGTCTGTCTGTCTATCTGTCTATCTGTCTATCCGTCTATCTGTCTATCTGTCTATCTGTCGATCCGTCTATCTGTCTATCTGTCCATCTATCCATCTATCCATCTATCCATCTATCCAACTATCCATCTATCTATCTAACTATCTCTCTCTCTCTCTCTATCTCTCTGTCTGTCTGTCTGTCTGTCTATCTGTCTATCTGTCTATCTGTTTATCTGTCTAGCCATCTATCTATCTATCTATCTACCTATCTATCTATCTATCTATCTGTCTAGCCATCTATCTATCTATCTGTCTGTCTGTCTGTCTATCTATCTATCTACCTATCTATCTATCTATCTTTTTATTTAGCTGTCTCTCTATCTATTTGTCTGTCTGTCTATCTGTCCATCTATCTATCTATCTATCTGTCTATCTATCTATCTATCTGTCTATCTATCTTTCTATCTATCTATCTATCTATCTCTCTATCTCTCTATCTCTCTATCTCTCTATCTCTCTATCTCTCTATCTCTCTATCTCTCTATCTCTCTGTCTGTCTGTCTGTCTGTCTGTCTATCTACCTGTCTATCTGCAAGCTTGAAAACCCAGCTATTCTGCGAGATGTCTTCATTGTTCAAAGTTAACATCAAAACGAAGGAATTCTGCGAGACTTCCTCAATGTTTGAACTTGACAACGTCAAAAACGTAGCAATTCTGCGAGACCTCTTCATTTTTCAAAGTTGACAACATAAAAAAAACGCAGCAATTCAGCGAGACTTCCTCAATTTTTGCATTTGACAACATCAAAATCAAAGCAATTCTGCGAGACTTCCTTAAAAAATGGAAAGTTCAGTGCAGCGCTGACAGCCTCGTACCAATGCGTTTTGCGATTTTTCCGCTCCACCTATCTAATGTACTGCGCCTGCCACAAAAAATTGATGCCAGGTCATACGAAGTGCTGCACCTGTCATGCAAAATCATCTTAGCAAACCTACAGATCTGATGCTCCAAAATGCAACCCCTCGCAGGAAATCAGCGCCTTGACCTCCTAACATCTCTCATGAACACGTCTTGTGTATTGCGCCTGCCACGGAAAATGCATCTTTGCAGATCCTCTTCAAATGTCCCACGCCTGCCATCGTTTTGGACATGCGACAAGACCCTCACGTTTTGCTCACTTTTGACAAGGTGCACAATCCCTTGTGCCTGCCACGCGAAACGAGCTCTGAACGTCCAAAAGTGGTCCGAACGTGGTGTGTTTTGTACATTTTGACTTAGAAATGTGCTTCGCGCCACAACGGCGTGCACTTTTTCGACGTCGCAACTTCCAAGAGTGGTCCGAACCTGGTGTGTTTTATTGGACTTCGAAATGTGCTTCGCGCGACAACGGCGTGCACTTTTTCGACATCTCAACTTCCAAAAGTGGTCCGACAATGGTGTGTTTTGTACATTTTGACTTCGAAATGTACTTCGCGCCACAACGGCGTGCACTTTTTCGACATCTCAACTTCCAAAAGTGGTCCGACAATGGTGTGTTTTGTGCATTTTGAGTTGGAAATGTGCTTCGCGCCACAACGGCGTGCTATTTTTCATCTCTCATCTGGCCAGCTGGCTCCGCACCCGCCGCCTTAGCGAGCCTACTTTTCGACCCTCTGGAGCCACAAATCATTGGAAAAACACGGTGTTTCGCGACTTTCCTACCTTTTCGCGCATCTGCATCTTCTTTCTTCTGACTCTTTCTCTTCTACTCTTCTCTCTTCTAATCTTTCTCTTCTCTCTGCCTCTGCCCTGCTCTGCTTTTCATCTGTCCATATTTTCGGAAGTTTGACTTCTAAACTCTAAACTTCCTTCGATTATTTGGGAATATTCCATGTATAGCTGGGGTATACTGGGGTCTAATCTGCATATGACTCACCTACTAAGTGGGATGCACCCCCAAGAGGGGGCCTAGATACAGCATGGACAGCTTCAGCACAGAGACGGTGAAAACAAAAAAGGAGCGGTTGCCGACCGTGGCAGGTGCCAAATGTAGCCCTGCCCAGGCCGCGCTTCGATAAAGTGTGTGTTGATTTCTCAACATTTGTCCATAAATCTGAAGTGCGCATGGCCCCTTTACTGCTGCAACTGGTTCTTTGCCTTGTGCGTACTTTGCAGGCCTGATCAAGTTGCAGCTGCAGGCCATGGACAAATGCACGGATAAATGGCAGCACAACTTCACAAACGACTTTAGATTGCTAAACCTCAGATGCATTTGGCCTTGCTTCAAAACTTGAAGGTTTTAGAGTTTGCAAAGGAAGTTGCTGTCCACAGGGTATCCGATGCCGGCTCCGGTCTATGTGGCTCCTCAAACGTATCCAGCACAGGCACAACCTGACAAAGGATGACATTTGCTCAAAGAGAATCACTTTTCAACTGCTTCTCATACCTTTGTTTTTGGGATTTTTGCACGATGCAATGCAGGTGATGAACCCACCCAGAGGTCCCATCTACCGTCGTTGACCTGGAACAACACAGATTGATGATACAATAACCACATTTCTACGGACTGGTTCAACCAAGGCTGACGACCAACGGAGACTCGGACAAGATCGGAACTCGCTGCCTGTAGGCGGGCCGAGCCGAAAAAATGCATAGATTGCCACAGATAATATGCATTGAATTCACTGATAATATGCTTAATACAATTTGATATACACATTATGTTTGATTTGATTTTTGAAAATGTGGTACCTCTCAAATCAATGGTTCATCATCATTATCCCCAACAAATGATCCAATGTAGGGGGTATGCCCCATTTTCAGGCACAGCCATACAGTATGTGTTAACATTAGGGTAATCAGTTTTTCCAGTGCCAAGGATGTCTTTTTCCATATCTGGAGAAGGCATCGAATTTGGACCCAGAAATTATGCACACTGTACCAAAATTTGAAGCATTCAAAAGCCAAAGGACAAGACCATTCGACCATTCAACCAGCGCCTGGTGGACTTGAACTGTCAACAGTTCAGCCCACGTGTTCCGCCCATGCTCTGGTGGCTCAACATCCAAACAGGTTCATTTGCTGCTTAAATGATTGTTGTAAAAACTATTTCAATCCACGTTTGGGTGTTTCTCAGGATCCGCCAAAATCTGTTTCTCTATCACCAAAAAGAGCCACAAAAATTGATGAAAGACTGGGACCCCCTTTTTGGGCACACTTCTCTTTGCCGAAACACATGTTTGCTCTATTGTACGCTTGGGGTTACTTCAAAGTTGATCCCCAAACCAGTGGTTTTCCTGATCCAAATGACGGGTCTTACTTGGGTGATAGCTGGTCAATCCCCGTTATCCACATGAAATCTCAACAATCCAGTGTTGTCAGTCATGGTTAAATCATGTTAAATCCAATATCCCATTGAAATAACTGGTAGTCATGATTTCAGAGCATCGTCGCTTCGGCGGAGGTCTGTTTGGACCACGACTCTGGGGAACCAGTTGTAGGAGTGCTTGCCGAAGCGAAATCGGCCGAGAAAATGAACAATGCTTCGATCCAGCATGATCCAGCGTTTGTCTTTGTGGCCCAATTCATCAGAAAACAATGGCCAAGAATTGAAGAACAAATCACACTTTATGGCTTTATCCCATGGTTTTTGTGGTGGGGGGGGAGATTATGACAGAAAATCATTGTTTGGGGCATCCTGTTTTGAGACAAAACCATATTGTGGATGTTGCTCAAACTGAGGGATGTCATTTTATCATCCAATTCATTTGAGATCATTTCGGTTTTTAACCAACAACCAATGGGAAAGAAGGCTACTCCGATTTCGAGAAGCACGGATATACCTTCGTGATCTTGTTTTGAAGGGCATCTAGATTTAGATGATTCGGGCAAAACATTTTTACATTTTTACAAATTAGATCAAGTTTGCCGAGTCGGGTTGAAACATTTGTCGGAATAGCCGTTCAGAAGTTCTGGTCAATATTAAAGTTCTAATAGGGACAGTGCAGACTGTGTGCTGTGTGCAATGCGTGCACTCCAACCAGGTTGTGCTGTCCAAAAGAATTCTGCTGAAACTGCGTAGTTTTTGCTACTTATGCACTGGTGTACCATGCTTCGTCGTGATTGTTTTAAGATGTAAGGAGAGTGTTCATTGAGATGGTGCACCTGAAGGAACACATTTGGCTCTGCCAGGTGATCCGACACATCAATGATGACATGATGATACTGCATCATGACAGCAATGCTTTCAAGATCTTTCAAGCCTCGTTGACCTCGAGCTTCAATAAGGAGTTGAGCAAGTCGTCATACATTTGAGACTTGCACTGAGCCATGCTGAGCTCATTGGCGCCCATGCCATCGCAGGCAGGACACGGACAGAGACAGAGAGGGGTGAGCTTTCATGACTTTGGTGTCATGCGGCAAAGATATGCTACGATAAGTGAATTGAATTGAATTGCCAAACATGGACCAAGTTGTGACCAATCGATTCCCCTCTCGGACACGATGAGGTTGTGGCGAGATCTGGTGAGCAGCTGCGCAGCAGCCTGCCTATTTCCACCAAGAGGGAAGTCGACGAAGTCGATTGGGAAGCCTCTTGACTGAGACTGATCGAAAGCTCAAAAGCACTTCCCGCGTTGCGCACTTTTTTGAGTGTGTGACAGTGTGACAGTTTGTGACAGTTTGTGACAGTTTGTGACAATTTGTGACAGTTTGTGACAGTTTGTGACAGTTTGTGACAGTTTGTGACGTGTGGTGGTTTCACGTGCATTGTATCGTTACTCGCATTACCCGCATTGTGTATGACATAAGTGTATGATTCATCTATGATATCTTCATGTCGATCTTCCCGTTTTCCTTCCGTTTCTTCCGGATATCTTCCTTCCTTTGTCGGGGAATCTGAGGAGAAAGACGTGTTAGGGCAGCTTTCTTTTGACCAGCTGCTGAAGGACGACACAGAGTCAGTGGCAACAAAGAGTACTGACATGTGACATGAGCACAGTAACTGCCAGGTAAATGGATTATAACTTTTTTTTTCAGAGTTTTTTTTTTCAGAGATTTTTCAGAGATTTAAAGAGTCAACTTGATTCAATCTGGATGATTTTGGCACATGTCATGTGCAATCAGAGCCCGTGGATGGAAATGCTTCATCCTGCGCACAGCAATTCTCAATTTCATACACCACCAACACGAGCCAGCTGCAGCCGCACACGTGCAGGAGATCCGAATGGCGCTGCCAAGTGAGGCCATGCTTGTGTTGAACAGAGAATTGAACAGAGAATTGAACAGAGAATCTGTGCGAATTTTGTGTTCTCGAAAGCTCCAAAAGTATCCGAAATCGCAAGGCAAAAGCAGCGCCTGCACTGGAACTCCTGGACGAAGATGACAAACCGATGTCCGTGCCCAAGTACCAGTTGATGTTTTCATTGTGAAGGTTTCGCAATCACTAAGCTGAGCCATATCTTCACAAGATATTCTGAAGACCCCACTGGTCTGATACGGATGGCACGTAGAAATTGACCACTTGATAACCACACAGAGTCTCGGAGATGTTGCATGACATCTGAACGCATGGATACACATTGTGATACACATTGTTTCTTGCAGTATCTCACCCGCCCAAATTTTTCGAAGCAAGGTCTTCGGATGAACTGACCACTTCGTTTGTCCTAGTTGCTTGGCGATGACATTCATTTGATTTGTCCTGTGCGCAAAGAGATGTTGCATAGTTTTTTGAAACTTTCTTTTGGCTTTCAATATTTGCCTCATGTCGCACAGCACGTGGGAGCTTTGAGGTTCATGTATACGAACTAGAATCAACTTTCGCTCGGGCCCAAGCTGATCCAAGATTGTGTAGCATTTGCTCGATCAGCTCAGAGAGCTCAGGTCAGGGCCAACAGAGTGCTATCGATAGCCGGCAGTGGCGCATACTTCGCTGGTGTCGAGGCATTTTCAAACACGTGTACTGCGAGGGAATGGCAGAAATGTACAGTTTTTATCAGCTTTTCACTTCAAGTCTTCAGGTAGATTCAAGTAGCTGTTTGTTGTTTGTGTCCAGCTTTACTCTTCTCAATCTTGTGCCACAGATCTTCGGTTGGGAGTGGTCCTATGGAGAGCATGGCGCCTGTTTCTCAGAGGGAGTCGGGAGTCAAAACATCTGAACCTGAAGTCCTGTCAATCCTCGATGTGATTCGCATCGGTTCTTTGCCGTGTGTGTGTGAAGCGAGGTTAAGAAGACAATCCCACGCGTGCAGACGCGACACATCTACAAGCCTCTAACTCAGGAAACAGTAGGAAACACCGTGCTTTGCAGTGCCTCGCAAAGTCTCTGTAGAAGCCGAGGTACAGCGTCTTCTTGGGGCATTCAGAAATGAATGTCGCGGGATTCGCAAATCTTTTGACTGAGTCATTCCAGGACAGGATGGCACTGATGGCACTTGAGGCAAATTCAGTTGCACAGAGATGTTTTGTTTCGGACAGCACCCGGCCACAACCAGGATTTTCAAGGCGATGACTACGAGCTTGTTGGCCACAACTGCTGCAGCTTCGCACGGGCAATGGTCGAGAAGTTAGGCGTTCGTTCTATGCCCCGCTGGGTGGACCGATTAGCCCGGCAGCACAGCAATCCGACCAATTTCACATTGACTGGACCTGGATCATCCTTTTCAGAGAAATTTCGAGCATTTCTTGCTTTCTAGTAAAGTTCAGAATTCCAGGAGTTGCAACTGTTGCAACGAATTTCCCGTGACCATGCGTTTGTCATACGGTTTGCAGTCAATGATGTGATCAGGTGGGTTCTAGAAATTTTGATTGTATGACTTTTCGGGATTTGCGGGAGTTTGACTTTTTTGCGGGAGGTTGACACTTTTTTGCGGGAGTTTTGATGTTCATGCCAGAACTGACGTCTGAAAGACACATTTGTCTCTGAAAAACCTGACCCTGATGCTTTGGCCATGAGGTGTTGAGGCTGAAACAGCCAGAGACATCCAGGGCAGATTCGATGTGGGACAGGTGCAGGTGAGTTACAAGTTGTTTCATTGGACCATTGGACATGTTTCAGTGGTTTTCGCAGTGACCGTGACTGTCTTTGCTGAGGCTGTGCTTTGCTCTTGTTTTAGATACTTAACGATACTATCAGCATCTATCAACTACTCAGATTTTCAGTCAGTTACAGAGTTACAGATGTTACAGTAAATATTTCTTCCGTTCATCAATCTTCTTTTTCTGTCTAGGTGCGCTGCCAGTTGCGCAGCGAGCGCAGCCAGTGGCGCCAAGACATGCGCATGTGCCTGGAGCGATGCGGGCGCTACCTACGTCCATGTCCCGGGCTCGAGACCTGCACCATCCTGCACCATCCTGCTGCATGACCTGCGTGATCTGATCAGTTTTGACACGTCATCCCGAAGTTTGCCAGGCCAGGCTTTGGGTGGCATGCTCGAGCTGGACAGCAAGTTGCGATGGCCCAGGTGCCTGGAATTGCCATGAATTTCCTACATTTGCCTACTTCATTCTACTTGGATGTGCATTTCAGTCTGTCAGTGGTTTATAAGTCACTCAGCAAGCGTCCAAATTTTAGATGTTTTTTGGTCGGGCTCGCGCGCGCAAAGGTCTCCATTTTATACCCCAAAATTGCGCGCGAACCCAACCAAAACAAGACTTTTTTTTGCAAGGAAACCCGCTGAGTAAGATAGCAAAATATATGTTGTATTATTCATTTTCTTTGGGAATATTCCATGTATAGCTGGGGTATACTGGGGTCTAATCTGCTTATGACTCACCTACTAAGTGGGATGCACCCCCAAGTAGGGCCTAGATACAGCATGGACAGCTTCAGCACAAAGACGGTAAAAACAAAAAGGGAGCGGTTGCCGACCGTGGCAGGTGCCAAACGTAGCCCTGCCCAGGCCGCGCTTCAATAAAGTGTGTGTTGATTATTCAGCAGTCCATAAATCTGAAGTGCGCATGGCCCGTTTACCGCTGCAACTGGTTCTTTGCCTTGTGCGTACTTTGCAGGCCTGATCAAGTTGCAGCTGCAGGCCAGACAAATGCACGGCGATTCAAATGGCAGCACAACTTCAAAACGACTTTAGATGACTTGCGGCTCATTGGAGCACAGCATTTTCAGCGGCAAGAGCAACGCCTGCAATCTGGCCTACAGCAAGATCCGGGTTGGTCCAGGGGGTTGCTGGATTTTCGACTCAAACAAACATTTCCAAATATTCCAAATTGAAATTCCTGTTGCTTCGAGTTGTCTAAATGACGATTTCATCGATCCTGACAGGTGCCGTGCCCGGTCTCCTAGACATATCCGGACAGTTTTGGTCATGACCACGTCGCTAAGTCTACTGACACTTAGGGGTAACTACTGCATCCCATTTTATGGCCCAACGAATTTCAGGTTGGTCAGTCCACCTACAGTTGTTTTTTCTATATCCCATTGCTTTTATCAACTTCTGGGTGTTACATATGTGTATATATATAATATAATATTTTATGTTATATATTATATATAATATATAATACATGATTATTTCATTGTGTAATTTATCCATAAGCATGAGCTCTCCGGTGGGAGGGGTGTTTGAACATGGGGTGCCCGACGACACATTTTTTGGGCATTTGATGATTAACCAAAATGTCATGAAATGCCCATATTTGATGATGATATGATGGGTCAATACAGCACCAGGTTTTTCGTGAACCATACATCACCGGGGCAATCAGCAACCAACACTACTGGGTTGAGCAACCAGGGTTGTGAAACCATGTGCCAACTGGGACACATAATTATCCTAAAAAGATGTCCTGGCAGTAAGTTTTCAGGCCATCCAGATGGCTCTCTAAGGCAGCCCTCATGGCCAATTGTTTGGATCTCAGATAGCTACCCTTCCAGCACCAAACATGCGGATATTAGCAATGAAGAATTGTGTTGTTCTTTTAAGGCAATGTTTTCTGGTGGGGAATTTGACTTCATAGCCTCACCCGCCCTTGTTTCGGCATATGTTTTTTTGTTTCAAGTCTTAATTCTACATTCTCTGAGGTATTCCAACATGGTTTGACTTTCAGAACCGTGCCATGGGGCAACTAACAACAGCCTCAGGCACACCGTGTGAACCGCGGCTGTCGCATCGTCACCGCTCACAGACCAAAGGAAGAGCTCCACTGTGGCTAAGCTCACCGCCAGGGGTGAAGGGAAAGCATCGTTGAAACCAACACTGCCACAACCATCCAACCACAACAAAATCGACCAGGTTATGGTGATATGTTATGAGATATTCATGGAACATCAATGATTAATGGAATATATATATATATAGATATGACTTGGGTGTAGCCTAACCTCTGTAACAGTCGGAAAATGGATTTCCTATGAAAACCTCTTCAAAAGGAGCACAAAGAAATTCATTCATTTTTCCCATTTTCTTTCGTGCCAAAATTGTGCTCTAAATCGTGCTGTTTTGGTGTTCCTGCTGTTTTGGTGTTCCCCTCCGTGCAAGAATTGTGCTCTAGATCGTGCTCTTTGGTGCTTTCCTCCGTGCAAAAATCGTGCTCTAGCTCGTGCTTTTTGGTGTGGGCTCCGTGAAAATTGTTCTCCTTCGAGCAGAAAGTCGTGGTCTGAATCGTGCTTTTTTGGAGTTCCTCTTCGTGCAAAAACTCGTGCTAAAATCGTGCTCTAGGCTCTAGATTGTGCCCGTTGGAGCTCTCCTCCGTGCAAAAATCGTGCTCTAGATCGTGCTTTTTGGTGTGGGCTCCGTGAAAATTGTTCTCCTTCGGGCAGAAAGTCGTGGTCTGAATCGTGCTTTTTTGGAGTTCCTCTTCGTGCAAAAACTCGTGCTAAAATCGTGCTCTAGACTAGATTGTGCCCGTTGGAGCTCTCCTCCGTGCAAAAATCGTGCTCTAGATCGTGCTCTTTGGTGTTCCCCTCCGTGCAAAAATCGTGCTCTAGATCGTGCTCTTTGGTGTTCCCCTCCGTGCAAAAATCGTGCTCTAGCTTGTGAAAGAGCTGTTACCCAAAAGATCCAAAAGCTCTGGTTAGGCTAAATTCTATCTATTAGGTTATATCTTGTTTTCTGACTATTAGTTAAATTTTGTTTTTACCTATTAGGTAAAACATCTGTTTTACCTAATAGTCACAATGATCAAATAACATGTTTTCTTTATGTTATTTATGTGAATAACCTGTTTTGGTACCTTTTTTTGGAGAAACTTCGGTTTCTTTATTGTAATCTCCAATGAAACATTTTTTGATTTGATACATTTGTTCCGATAAAATGATGCTGAAAAAACTACATACAAAAGAAAACCAGAAAACATATATTTTGCATGGGACAAACCAACACAAGATAGAAACAAAAAACACATGTCAAAAAATACATATATGGTATATACATGGTCGAAGGAAGTTTAGAAGTCAAACTTCCGACAATGAAAAGCAGAGCAGGGAAGAGGCAGAGAGAAGAGAAAGATCAGAAGGAAAGAAGATGGAGATGCGCGAAAAGGTGGGAAAGTCTCGAAACACTCTGTTTTTCCAATGATTTGTGGCTCCGGAGGGTCGAAAAGTAGGCTCGCTAAAGCGGCGGGTGCGGAGCCAGCTGGCCAAATAAGTGATGAAAAATTGCACGCCGTTGTGGCGCGAAGCAGATTTCCAAGTCAAAATGTACAAAACACACCAGTGTCGGACCACTTTTGGAAGTTGAGATGTCGAAAAAGTGCACGCCGTTGTGGCGCGAAGCACATTTCCAAGTGAAAATGTACAAAGCACACCATTGTCGGACCACTTTTGGAAGTTGAGATGTCGAAAAAGTGCACGCCGTTGTGGCGCGAAGCACATTTCCAAGTCAAAATGTACAAAACACACCAAGGTCGGACCACTTTTGGAAGTTGAGATGTCGAAAAAGTGCACGCCGTTGTGGCGCGAAGCACGTTTCCAAGTCAAAATGTACAAAGCACACCAGGTTCGGACCACTTTTGGAAGTTGAGATGTCGAAAAAGTGCACGCCGTTGTGGCGCGAAGCACATTTCCAAGTCAAAATGTACAAACCACCACATGTTCGCGCCACTTTTGGAGGTTCGGATGTCGAAAAAGTGCACGCCGTTGTGGCGCGAAGGACATTTCGAAGTCAAAATGTTAAAAACACCAGGGGTTCGGACCACTTTTGGAGGTTCGGATGTCGCTTCGCTTCAATACACTACACTAAAGGACAGTACACTACACTACACTCCAGTACACTACATTACACTACATTACACTCCAGTACACTCCACTACATTAAATTACACTACACCACACTACATTACATTGAATGACACTGCAACACAGATAGACAGGTAGACAGCTAGACAGATAGACAGATGAAAGGGAGAGATAGATAGACAGGTAGGTAGATAGATAGATAGATAGGTAATTAGATGAAAGAGAGAGAGAGAGAGAGAGGCCAGCTGGGTAGATGAGATAGATAGACAGATGGCTAGACAGATAGACAGACAGAAAGACAGACAGATCGATAGACAGACAGACAGATAGATAGATAGATACATCGATAGATACATAGATCGATACATGGAGAGATAGATAGATACATAGAGAGATAGATAGATAGACAGAGAGATAGATAGATAGAGAGATAGATACATAAATCGATAGATAAATAGATAGATCGATAGAAAGATAGATAGGCAGAAACACTCAATCACCTTTCGATCCATGAATGGCTTCGCTCTGCCATCCCTGATTCACAACAACCAACCTCTCCTATAGGTTTCCTATTTTTGAAACTTCCGCCACCGCCTTGTGCGGTACTACATGGTAATGTCTCAAAACGAGGTGTCTTTTTTTGGTTCCAAAAAGGGTTCTTTGAGAGGAAAAAAGGACGCCTCATTTTGAGGCAACCCCACACACACACTTATATATATATATATATACATATACACATAAATTTACACACACACACACTTGCTCAGAACAATCATTGCGAATTCTGATGTGGAATGCATCTTACGTGCAAAAATACTCCAATCAAACCTGACAGGATTGAGTGAAAGAGCAGACTCGAGTAAGAGTCAAAACGGAACTTCTTCATAGCCCTGGTTGGATGTAAAATTGACCAGACATCAAGCATCGAAAGGAGGTCCTCAAGTTGAAGTTTGGTTTGAAAAATGTTTGAAAAAAACGACATGCCGGTTCTGGGCTTAGCCGATGCAGGTACACGGAGGTGATCAATCTCTGCTTCCCCCATTGTGGAATAGCTTCGTTGGCACAGGTATCCACAATGGGCCTGTGCCCCCTGCAATTGATTGTTTGGTAAAAAACATATCCAGGAAAAACAGCAAAAAGAAGTTTTACATCTGTTCAGATGGTTCACACACACGCCCTGCTTGCGCAGGGCTTTTTTAATGCCTGGAAGGTGTGCCACGCTCTGATACGGTCAGCTGGTGTCGGATTTTGAAATCAAAAGACCAGCAATTACCGTCCCCTTCAGAAGTGGAAGTGCAGCTCTTGCTTCGCCTAGTCGGAGATGTCCGAGATGCCCGCGAGTTCTTGGTTCTGAGCATGTTGGGCAAGAGTCTGCACAGTGATTGCCACATGGCTTGACAGGTGGGCCAAGTCGCTTGCCGTGAACAACTGAATAGGGTTGGCATTCGGATCTGCCGGAGGAGTCTCAAGCTTCTCGAGGATCGGTGCATTGTACTCCCTGTCCGATATGAGGATGTTGTGGAGCACAGATTCCAGTTGATGCACCTGACTTGGAATCGGCAACTGACCTGTTTCAACATTCACCGAGGTGTCGTCTTCCATGTCAGGCTGTTCCTGACCTGTGTTTTCAGCATTGTCAGACGATTGCTGGTAATCTTGCCAGGATGAGTTCCAGGCAGTATTTCCATCATGTACTTCGGGAATGTAGTAAAAACGACGCCAGTAATTGGCAAGTCGGGTGGCTTGTTCCCAACTGTTGATGCGTCCACCATCACAGGAGCGGACATGACCAACAATTCAATGAAGAAGAACTCCGCTTGACGGTTACGTTCAACTCCATAGCGATCGACTTCTGTGATCATCAATCGACTGGGCCTGCCTGACCCTGGAGGAGGAATGACCTCTTTGAAAATGTGACTGTGAAGCACTCGATGATTTTGTGACAGTTCCGATTGTAATGGGTATGCCTCATCAGGAATGCTTGCTGAATTGGCTGATGGTAAAGGAACAGAAGGGACCGTGGCAGCATAGCCATAGTGCTGAGGTTCACCCGGAGTCTCATGTCTGGAGTGGGCTAGGCCCCAGGAATGGTTGGCATTCGAAGACGAGGAGGCACCTTCAGAAGAAGCAGCAGCGCGATCACGATGGGCTTCGACAACCGATTGGCCACGGCGCGGGGAGCTCATGAGGACGCGTGGGGATTCTAGATTGGCAAAAGAGGAATCCCGTTTAGTCATTATGCAAACTGGAGCCAGAAGAAGCAAAGCAAGGAAAATGCAGCAAGAAGGAAAAAATAAAGTTCAAACCGGGATTGACAACAATGGCAGCAAGCGCATTGACCAATTTTTGACGCAGAGGGATCAAGGTAGCATATACGGATTAGGGAGTGCCTGGTGGCAACTCAATCGCATTATGTACGGCTGATTAGGATTGTCAAAATCCTTAATTGCATTAAACAGGGTTCCGAGATCTTGGCCTTCAGTCCAATGGGGACGGTGTGCACCAAGGAGATCAATCAGGATTTGGTGATTTCGAATAATGAGCAGATCGCCTGTGCTGTCTGTCCAACGTAGATCCATAGAAGATGGCCTAAGGTAGACACCCCATGTGTTCTTGATGTGCTGGCTGATGTAGGAGAGGATGGTCTCCACTGTGAGGATTTGAGTTTCAGCCGGAGCTACCAAGAAGCTGTAAGTGAACAATGCGTATTCTTCAAGTCTGCCAAGGGTGGGTAAAGGGTCACGGGTGGTGATTTGCATAGCATCACTATGATTGGCAGTCGCCAGAGATTGAACTTGGGTGAGGTCAATGATGACCAAGACCCGTCTGGTTTGGCGAAGCAATGGGGTGTAGTTCCAAGAATCAGTTGGACGTTGGTCACGAGGTCGATCCGGGTTTCGACGGCTCCATATTGGTGGATCGTCCCGCGAACGGGAACGATCACGGGAAACAGGTACGTAGTTACATGAATGACAAAATAAAACTTGCAAATTGACAAACGGAGAACAAACCG